GTCAGTGACAATGCATGTCATCGCTTCACTGATTGCTTAAACACGACCAGCTAAAGAAGCCAATGCCTTGTCCTCCCAGAAAGCATTATAGGGTCATTGAATTACACTGGCATGGTATGTAAAAGCTTATGTTAGAATCGTCATCGGTCTTGTACATTGTGGATATCATTGACGACAATATTGTGAGTATTAGATCATCAAACTTGTACGTATGTATGGACGAACAGTGACTTGTAATGGTTGAGTTCGTGAGTTAAGATTTAGTTTTGTATTTGTTGCATTTCAACAACATAGCGATTGGGTTGAATGTATGGGCACGCACCTGTCTTCTTGTAACATTTTGTTTGTTGTTTAACGCCGCACTCAGAAATATTCCAGCTATATGACAGCGGTCTGTAAATAATCGAGTCTGAACCAGACAATCCAGTGATGGACAACATGAGCATCGATCCACGCAATTGGGATTGATGACATGCATCAACCAAGTCAGCGAGCCTACCACCCGATCCCGTTAGTCGCCTCTTACGACAAGCATAGTCGCTTTTTACGGCAAGCATGGGTTGCTGAAGACCTATTCTACCCCGGATCTTCACGGGTCTCTTGTAGTCGTGTCATGTATTGCAGAAGTGTGGAAACAAACCCCAGGGTGCGTGGGCATCAGCTAAAGAGGCTGACTCTCACGTGACGGTCACAACGTTGCCAATAGTAGATGAAGCGTCACCAGTACTGGTTGTAATACTAGTCGCAGTACTGTGGCTTGTTATTGTTATACGGCTACTGTTATGTGTATATGATTTATGTGCGTTATAAGCAAAAAGACATATCAAGTTAATAGTAAAAACACCAAAGCGAAAGCCGTAGCGTGTCATAGAAGTGCCGTTTAAGGATTAAAGATTGAGGGTCACATGTCTTTATGCGCATTTATTGGGGTGAGTAGTGATGAAGCGAGGTGAGGTGAGGTGAGATGAGGTCGCTTTCACGTCTATTGCACTTGAATGTGTGCGTGCGTGCGTGCGTGCGTGCGTGCGTAGTCCACATAGATACCAAGCCGCAGTTTAACATGGATACCCAACAAAAACAAATGCCGCCAGGCAGGGTAATAACACGTCACAGTGAATCGGACCGTCGACCTTCTACTCCCTGGACAGACATTCTATCCACTTGACCGCGCCCGAGGCAAAATATCTCAAATAAGAAATGTTCAGTTCCCATGTCCTCGCACCAGACTGGCAATTGTCTCAGCCCTGTGCTTGCAGTTCGTGCGTTGGCCCTGCAGTGTTAGATTACTTCTCGTATGTCGCCGATATAGTAATGTGTTTGGAAGCGTGTTCAAATACACACCGCTGTCCAGTACGTCTTCATTGCCCCTCAGTCAGCTGTAAACAAGCCCTCCACTTTTACCGGAAGATGTCGCGTAATCCGCAACACTCGAAACATGTCACGAGCCACATTTTGACTCCACCGGGGAGTGCTAAATGTCGCCGAGTCGTGCTGAATGACGTGGTGTGTCGATTCAAGATTTACGACTCTGAGAAATAGGTTGAAACTGTCTGATGGGAAATTTGATCCAAGGTTCGAAATTATTTTAAAGGTACAAGTAACAGGGGTCCACGTATTTCCCAGTGGATGACAGTATGAGCACTGTCCTACGGGGTAGGATGACCCTCAATCAGGCATGTCAAACATTGTAACTGTAATAAGATGACACTTGTACTATCCTCACTGGCGTCCGACATTAAGGGATTGAAACAAGGACTGGAAAGCTTGAAGTCGGTATATTGTGTTAGAGTGGGGTATCCATGTTCAAATGTGGCATGTCATTTCAGTTAGCTAGCACTATGAGTGAGTTAGTATGGTTTTACGCCGCTTTTAGCAATATTCCAGCAATATCACGGTGGGGGACACCAGAAATGGGCTTCACACATTGTACCCATGTCGGGAATCGAACCCGGGTCTTTGGCGTGACGAGCGAACGCTTTAACCACTAGGCTACCCGACCGACCGCTAGGAATATGAAACTGCATAAGTCGGACTAGTACAAGCAGCCATACACATACGCACGCACGCACGTACCCACGTACCCCTGCATGTGCGTCGCCATATAGGTGAAATAATCCTCAAAGTCCTTTTCACCCGACCTCATGATACGTATCGTGTCATGAACATCCTCCACGTTCCAGGGATATATTATTCCAACTACCCAGAGTGAATGAGCGAGTGGTGTTCAACGCCGCTTTTAACAGTATTGCAGTTATATATTACCGCCGTGTCAACTTATCTCAAGTAAAATAAAGGCGCTTCATCAAATGTAGGGTTTCAAAAGCGGAAGCTGGGCGCGGAAAACACGTGCTGCTACTTATCTGCGAAGAATGGTAACGATATTTCCCGTCTCTTAAGGATTAGGATAGCTTAACGTTACAAACATGAACCGTTGTCCGTGTTTGTGTGGAAATAAATGAGGTCAGGGAACAGGTTCCGACTGTTTACCTACAGTGTATGGGGTTGAACTGAACAAAGACGTACGTACATGTTGTTGTCTTTGTACCTCCAGGGGTCACAGCGTTTAGCAGAATAGCGCCCACGACAATAGACCCATTGGCAGTTGGTATTCAGTTCCTGGTATTAAGTAAGGTAGGGTCGGGGTGGGGTGAAGGTCAGATTTGACAGCAGAGTAGAAACCAGAACAGACGGAGAACAGTGTGTGTGTGTGCGTGCGTGCGTGTGTGCGTGTGTGCGTGAAAAAATTATCAGATGTACACTGAAATCTATTTTTTTGCCGGAATAACGAATTACCGCCATGGATTACAGATCTTTGTTTCAGTGAAACCTCTATAATCCGGACGGTACTGTTTTCAGTCAGTACGGGGGCGGCGGGGTATCATTGTGGTTAAAGCGTTTGTTCGTCGCACCGAAGGCCCGGGTTCGATTCCCCACAGGGGTACAATGTGTGAAGCCCATTTCTGGTGTCAAACGCCGTGATATTGTTGGAATATTGCTAAAAGCGGAGTAAACCCCAACTCACTCACTCCTGATTAACATTTTGTTTTCGAATCACCGTCAAGGAGTAATGTCCCTTGTTTCTTTTGGTAGACAGATCACGTCCATAATGTTGGATATCCGGAATAACGAGGTCCGCACATACGGGAAAAAAATCATCTGTTCATTTTGTATTGTTTCGTTTTTACCGATTTCCAACACGCAAAATCATAAGAGAATCCGTATCCCCATAATTATGACGAATTTTACATAAACATATGATTTTGATTTTAAAGAAGATAAAACAAGACAACGATAATGATAAAAAACAAGACATTCAATCTAAACGAAATGGCATTGTTAATATTTATTTAGTATCATATATAAATCTATGAGATCGGGGGGGGGGGGGGGGGGGGAGGTCTGAATTTAACGAGATTGATATTTGTCGCTTATATAATCAATATTTATCCCCCTTCCTATACTTATATTTGAAAAGTACACATTCATACTTGACATAAGCCTTTCATAACACAAACAAGTTATTAAAAATCAATAAGAGGCCTCAGCATTAACAAGGTATAGTTCGCGACATACCCCGGGTTCTATGGGGATAAGGAATGGACAATAAGGGGGCTTGAGTTTGTTTTACATTAGACTGCGCATATCAATCGACTACGCTATAAGTACCCCTTCGAAGTCATAATAAAGTAATACCTGATAACGTTGAGGCGGTTTAATTTAATTTCAGTCAATACGTAACTTTTTAAGTTGAGCTCGTAAATCCAGTGCGTTATGTCCCGTGAGTTTAGACTGTATGGTATTTACTAAGTATGTCATAATATGGAGAGAGACTTGACAAGGCGAGAGGTGTTTTGTTATTGCTACTCTGTACACTTAGACATAGGTCTGTGTGCCGTTAGATGTTAACTATGAGTTCTAGACCGGGACGTCGTGGTAAGAAAACACAGAGAACGCGTCGACTCGTTTTTGATAGACGGTAAGTCACAATGGATATTTCATATGCTTTGTTAACTCTGTGGTGGCAGAGGTGGGGTTGAGGTTAAATGGGGTTTAACGTCGCGTCCAGGATCATTGTACTTATATAGAGACGTGCATGCAAGTTTGTGTGTGTGTGTGTGTGTGTGTGTGTGTGTGTGTGCTTGTAATTGTCCGGACTGATGCCGATTTATAGTGCTAGCCCACTGGGATACCATGCCGTGAATACCCCACTCAGACACAGTATTCTTACTCCGAGCCGACCAGTCCTTGTTTTAGCCTCTCAATGCCGAGCGCCAGATATGGTAACAACAAGTGCCATCTTTTAACATCTTTTGACATGACGCGGCCAGGAATCGAACCCCGGACCCTCCGCTCTTCGGGCGGACGCTCTACCACTAGACCACGGAGGCGGTCCCTGTGGTGGCAGAATATCGTATATCATATTAATGGACATTACAAAGGATGTCTTAGTGAATATCATTGTGTTTGAAATAACGTTGAAGTATCATTTTGTAAAAGGGGCACCGGAATTCGCTGTGCAGAGTTGCGTCCCTTAGGCGTGCCTGGAAGCTTTGGTCGAGAGTTCCAATCCCGGTTCGCCCTGATTATGTTTCTTGGTTTGTCGAAGTTGAAGGGACCTACGTTATCCGTCGCGAGGTTCAAAGCAACCGAAAATGATCAATAAAGAAGGGTTACACCGGGACGAAGCTTTTACTTCGAAACAAGCATAAGTTCGACACATCCATGTTCGACACAACGGTGTTCATCATTATATGCTCACACTACCGGCCACAGGTTTGCCTTGCACTTTTAAGACCAAAGCGCTGGTGAGATGTTGATGAAAACGACAAATGGATAGTGTCCACAATGTAGCTATCACGTGAATTTTGACAGACACAACAAATAATAGTATTAAACTTGTCATAAAAGCTTTAAAAATGCTGTAATGATTTAATTGAAGAACGCCTGCTTTGCTACAATTTTATTATAAATTTGTTTTTTAATCATGGAACTTATTTCAGGCGTATGCAGAAGATGGTGGACACCGTCATGGAGTCCCAACGCTTCTACGAAGACTACGCCCGCCAGAGAGACAAGGACGCGGAGGAACACAGAGAAAAAGACCCACCTCCAATCTTCAACAAACGTCTGTTCGTCTCCACCGGAAATGTCGTCATCACGAATGAGGCGAGAAGAATAATGTCACGTAACGGACGCGTAAGACCAAACTGCGAACCGGAACCGCTCACAAAATCAGAGTTGATGGTCATGCGCAGTGTGGTTGAAGGTTTAAAACTCGTGCACAAAGGTCACGACTATGTCAAGGACGCGTTGAGTCACGTGATAACGTTTGAATCGTATGGAGCGTTTCAGTACATCGTGAAGAGACCCTATGAAGAGTGTCTGTCTTGCTATTACATAGTCCAAGGAGGTGTGGAAGTGACCTATGACATGAAAATGGCGGAGACACGCAGTGTTTATCAGCCGAATATCATCTACAATCACGGCACGGGGGAGTTCCTTGGCTTAGTGTCGTTGGAAGGGCTTAGCGAGGATATGTCCCCTCCCGCTACGGTCTATACGAAGGAGAGGTGCGAGTTTCTCAGGATTGACAGACAAAAGTTTCATTCTATTGTGGAGAAATACTCAGAGTTGTATGATGAAGAAAAACGTGCATTCATGTCACGTGGTCACTGTGTCCTATCGCGCATGCCCGAGGAATCGAAAGAGAAGATACTGGATAAGATTTACCGACAGGTGGGGTATAATCATATACTTCAGTCTATTTCAATACAGTAATACCTCATTAATCCGGACTGTACCATTCCATAGAAATCGTACGCGTCCGGATAAACGAGTCATGGATAAGGATTAATGGTGTCTTGTTTATAAAACTCGCCCTCAACAAGATCACCCGGATGATGGGTGGTATTTACGGGGTCCGGACTAACGAGGTTTAGTTTAAACATATTTTATTCGCATGAAAAGGATTGGGCACAAGAACCCCCTCTCCCATAGATTTACATGTATGCTTCTTTACAGTTAATAAATCAAATGACAGATAGGAAAGAAAAGAGATATAGAAACGTATATACATTCACATTGCTCACCCGAACCTTTTTGTTTTCTTTATATATGTATGTACATTCCTAAAAAGGCTTTCGTTCACATGATTAGGTAAAATTGCATTTCCAACTAGCATCAGGTCAATATTTTCATCCCAAGTATCTTTCACAATTAACAATAGTCAGTGCATCAATTCGTTTCTAGCTGATTTAAACAAAGGACATTCAATGAAAAAATTATATCAATTTTCACATAGGGTGCCACATCGGCATTTGGGATCCTCGTTTAAACCTTTTCTAAATAAGTCAATTTATAATTCACTGTCATCATATATTAACGAGGCCCTAACGAGGTTTCACTGTATCCGATGTCGAGATGGAGAAGTGAGTATTGTTTTACGCTGCTTTTAGCAATATTCCAGCAATATCACGGCGGAGGACAACAGAAATGGGCTTCACACACGGTACCCATGTTGAGAATCGAACCCCAGGTCTTCGGCGTGGCGAGCGAACACTTTAACCACTAGACTACCCCACCGCTCACAAGATTGAGGAAGGGAATGCCCATTGCCCGATATCCCGATTTGGGGGGTCATCGGGGAAACCAGTCTGTTGATCTCTCCTGGCTGTGCTCGATGCTCACACTGTTGACCACTGCTTTACCTGGTCCAGGCCCGACCGTGTCATTCGTCGTGATAGTTGTAGCTGACTACGACGTTATCTACCAACCCACTGAATGCAGTGCCAAGGTGCTGTTGAAGTATAACGTGTCTTCAGGAGATCTGCGCGGTGAGGTAGCCTATTGGTTAAATCGTACGCTTGTCACACGTGGAGCCCGTTTCTGGTGTCATCCGGGCGGTCGGGTAGCCTAGTGGTTAAAGCGTTCGCTCGTCACGCCGAAGACCCGGTTTCGATTCCCGACATGGGTACAATGTTTGAAGCCCATTTCTGGTGTCCCCGCAGTGATATTGCTGGAATAATGCTAAAAGCGGCGTAAAACCATACTCACTCACTCACTGGTGTCATCCGCCATGCTATTACGGGAATATTGCTGATAGTGGCGTAAAACTATACTCATTCACTCACTCACTTAAGGATGTTTCGAGGAGGGTGTTATTGAGTTCACCTGTTGCATCATTATGCATAAAATGTTTCAAAATAATATACAGTCTCTTATTATTAGAACCCTTGAATTTCCACATATTCAAATAATAAATAATAAAAGCGACTGAACCCTTTCAATAACCATAAGAAATATCTTCCATTTACGATTTCGACAATATGTGTTTATGAATCACTATCAAACAGTGATGATACAAGGTGTTTGTGAAAAGAAGAGCATATCCTGCCGCTCCGGTGGTACACGTCACAAACACTTGCAAAGGCAAGCCATGTGTTCACCTGAACAAACACGGCAACGTATGGTACAAGTCAAATAGGGAAGTGCTTCGACATACGTTTGGTCACTGGTGTGTCAAATATGGAAATATCCTCCACATGCCTACTATACAACCAATTAAGAGGCTTTGCAAGTGTTGACAGATACGGAAAACTAACATATCAGTGAGTGAGTGAGTTGGGTTTAACGCCGCTTTTAGCAGTATTCCAGTTATATCACGGCGTGTCAGCTTAATGTGGGAGGGAAGCCCGAAGTGATGCAGGTCTCAGACGTTTACCACTTCGGTGAAACCCACGAGCAGGGGTATGGTGCTGATAAACCTAGAAACATAATCGTGGCGAACCGGAATTCGAACCCACAATCATAGGTTTCTGGCGTGCCTAAGGGACGCGACTCTGCACAGGGAATCGCGGCGCCTCAGACGACTTGGCCCCCGTGCCCCCCCCCCCCCCCCCCAATTTTTTTTTGCAAAGATGACATAGTTACAAATATCCTGAAATGATGAGCATGCGTTTTTTTCAGGACTTGGCTCCCAATCGTCAGGTCATAGCACAAGGGGACTCATCGGATTTCATCTTCTTCGTTTATTCGGGTAGGTGATGAAAATATGTACACACAAAAAACGTCATCTTTAGGATGTTTTGCACAAAACATTCGTGAAATCAACTTTCATATTATTTCAAAAAATTGAAACCTTCTAAAAAGTCAAACCCGTGTCTATAAGTTAGTGATTGTATACTGCAATATTGTATTCGATTATCCAGAGCATTTGATCTCATTTGACACCTTTGCTTCGTTTTGAGTCCGGTTGAAATGATTCCATCAAATTACTTTGACGTTCTGTCATGATTGTACCGGATTATCGCTGGTACTCGACTAGCCTTAGTTCATACTGGGAAAACTGGGAACAACTTAGTCTGACAGCACAAGGACAACTCCCTTCTTTATACGTAAAAGTATTTTCCACTTAAAACTTCACCTACACGTGTAGCATACTTCTGAAACTCATTTGCGTTAAACATGCCGGGGGCTTGTGCGTACGAGGCCTCCATTTTGAAAGAAGATTGATGCCGAACTCTCGTCTTATTTTGATTGGTTGTAGATGTCAATACGCGATACATTCTGTGATAAGTCAGTGATAAGAGCGATGAAAAGGTGACATCTCTTCCGAAACAAAACTGCGGTCTTCACGGGTTTATTCCTATTGAAAATGATTACTATTGCACAACATATGTGTATTCCCCCTGAAGATAAATCAAATTAGAAATACTGTTCCTTAAATTGTTTTTGATATAAATACACATCTACTTCTGTAGAAGTAGTGAAACAAACATCGTACAGCCGGTACCGCTCAAACTCCGCAGGCCCCCATGAAACCAAACATCTTCTGTAGTGAAGATTCCGGGGTAGAATAGGTCTTCAGCAACCCATGTTTGGCGTAAAAGGCGACTATGCTTGTCGTAAAAGGCAACTAACGGGATCGGGTGGTCAGGCTCGCTGACTTGGTTGATGCATGTCATCGATCCCAATTGCGTGGATCGATGCTCATGATATCGATCACTGGATTGTCTGGTCCAGACTCGATTATTAACAGACCGCCGTCATATAGCTGGAATATTGCCGAGTGCGGCGTTAAACAACAAACCAACCAACCAACCAATCTGTATGTATTATGTATGACTATATTGTGCAGATGGTTATATCTCTGCTATGCTAATGTATTTTCGGCCAGTGGCCTTACACTGAATAAAATGTCTGTCTATCTGTAATGTATATTACTGACACATCCAACCATGTTTGTCTACCGAATACAGGTCGCTGTCAGCTTTACAAAGAGGTGTACGTCCCGGAAACTGGTCAGAAGTCCAACTTCCTTCTTACTTCTTGTGAAGAAGGTGAGTGTCTCAAGGTCATGGCAGGCTCATTGTCGAGGTCAAGGTCGGGTCATAGGTTAGTCATGAGAGGGTCAGATGCATCGTCCACAACCCCATCCCATGTGAATTAACCTTTACTGTTTGGTTACAGGAAGTTTTTTCGGCGAAGAGTGCATCCTCGATAAAACGGGGAGTTACTGCACCGCCACAACGGCCTCGCATACGACCATCTTCAAGGTACACAAGTAAGTCTCTCTTAGTCGACGAACGTCTTGTCTTGTCTTGTCTTGTCTTGTTTTATAATCTTGTGTTAGATTGTTGTATTGGAAATGACATTGTCGTAACCAAGAAATAAGTTAAAACTATTATTTCCAAATTCCAATTTTCATGATAAAATTAATTGACCAAGACTTGATAGTATGATATGTTCAATCAGAAAATATTGAAATATCATCCACGGAATATTAATGGTTAATCTGATTCATAATGTCGGTGACTTTCTTTACGTGAAGCTATGTGAAAGGGTTTATATGAGTCTTCGCAGACCAAATAATGTATATGTTTAATTGGTTTTATGTGCCTCGGTACAGGTGACACGCTAATCCTAACGGTTTACTCGAAGTACCGATATAACCAGTGTTTCGACATAAAGGGAATACTATGAACTAACTTGATGCAGTAGGTACCCCAGTTCAAGTTCACGAGGCAGTCAGACAGATAATATAATACTCCGCATCATCAATTGTTTCAGTTTTAGAGCGATGTTCGCTTAACTCGAATAGAGGGTGGAAATACCGTGAAGCTTCGTAAAGTCCGTTTTTTTACTACGAATATAGTTTCAGACGATGAACTAGTGTGGTCGCGGCCTTATCTTTAGCTCCTATCTACACTCCGCTTGTCTCGCACTTCGGATAACTCGTTGTTTTACCGTATTGCTATACGGATATGTCGAACTGTCTTTCATACGTTTCTGGTCTCTTCCCACAGGTCAGCGTTTGAAATAGTCAGCAAAGATCACCTTCATAATCTCATAGAACAGCATCGTAATGAATACCCGGATGAGCACGATCTGCGTGAACGAGGCTACACTATACATACTTGGAATGACTTCAAACACAAGGCTGTCCGACAGTGTCTGGAAGAACGGGGGCACTTGAAGTACATGAACACACGCGACCCGCGCATTGTGCGCACAAGACCACCGACAGCATGGTATGTATACATGTGTATTCATTTACATTTGATACAGATAAAATAATATAATAATTATGAATAAACAGTCTCGGAATATATACCAAAACAGATCATACTGGGCGTAAAAGGTTTGGTTTTGGTTTGGTTTGTTGTTTTACGCCGCACTCAGCAATCTCCCAGCTATATGACGGCGGTCTGTAAATAATCGAGTCTGGATCAGACGATCCAGTGATTGACATCATGAACATCGATCCACGCAGTTGGGATCGATGACATGCATCAACCAAGTCAGCGAGCCTGACCACCCAATCCCGTTAGTCGCCTTTTAAGACAAGCATAGTCGCCTTTTACAGCAAGCATGGGTTGCTGAAGACCTATTCTACTCCGGATCTTCACGGGTCGGGCGTAAAAGGAAAATAGTAGCGACAATTATATGAATGTATCACATAATATGAGATATGACACCAGGTGTTCGCGAAAAGGGTAAGCACGTTCTGCTCGACCGGTAATACCCGCCACTCACATAATACGTTTAAGAGCTGGCTAATAGATTCGTGCCCGAACCAGGCAAACCAGTGCTCGATGGCATGAGCATCAGTTCATTCCAGAAATAAAAGTCAATGATTGGGACACATCCTGATTCTAGAAAAAGGAAACACAGGGAGCAAAAGAAAGCAGAGATAGAGGTTCATTGCGTAAAGGTGCAGATTCATTGTGAGAAGGTAAAGGTTTACTGTGTGAAGGTAAAGGTTTACTGTGTGAAGGTAAAGGTCCGGACCGTAAACCTTTACCTCCCCACAATGAACCTTTACCTTCACACAGTAAACCTTTACCTTCACACAGTAAACCTTTACCTTCACACAGTAAACCTTTACCTTCACACAGTAAACCTTTACCTTCACACACTGAACCTTTACCTTCATACAGTAAACCTTTACCTTCACACAGTAAACCTTTACCTTCACACAGTAATCCTTTACCTTCACACAATGATTCTTTACCTTCACACAAGGTTCATTGTACGAAGGTAAAGAATCATTGTGGGAGGTAAAGGTTCATTGTGGGGAGGTAAAGGTTTACTGTGTGCAGGTAAAGGTTTACTGTGTCAAGGTAAAGGTTTACTGTATGAAGGTAAAGGTTCAGTGTGTGAAGGTAAAGGTTTACTGTGTGAAGGTAAAGGTTTACTGTGTGAAGGTAAAGGTTTACTGTGTGAAGGTAAAGAATCATTGTGGGGAGGTAAAGAATCATTGTGTGAAGGTAAAGATTCGTTCTTTGTGTGGAAGTAAAGGTTCTTTGTGTGGAGGTAAAGGTTCTTTGTATGGAGGTAAAGGTTCTTTGTGTGGAGGTAAAGGTTTACTGTGTGAAGGTAAAGGTTTACTGTGTGAAGGTAAAGGTTCTTTGTGTGAAGGTAAAGGTTTACTGTGTGAAGGTAAAGGTTCTTTATGTGGAGGTAAAGGTTTACAGTGTGAAGGTAAAGGTTTACTGTGTGAAGGTAAAGGTTCAGTGTATGGAGGTAAAGGTTTACCGTGTGAAGGTAAAGGTTCAGTGTGTGGATGTAAAGGTTTACAGTGTGAAGGTAAAGGTTCGTTGTGTGAAGGTAGAGGTTTACTGTGTGAAAGTAAAGGTTCAGTGTGTGGATGTAAAGGTTTACAGTGTGAAAGTAAAGGTTTACTGTGTGAAAGTAAAGGTTCAGTGTGTGGATGTAAAGGTTTACTGCGTGAAGGTAAAGGTTTACTGTGTGAAGGTAAAGGTTTACTGTGTGAAGGTAAAGGTTCAGTGTGTGGATGTAAAGGTTTACAGTGTGAAAGTAAAGGTTTACTGTGTGAAGGTAAAAATTCATTGTGTGGAGTAAAGGTTTACTGTGTGAAGGTAAATGTTTACTGTGTGAAGGTAAAGGTTCTTTGTGTGGAGGTAAAGGTTTACTGTGTAGAGATAAAGGTTTACTGTGTGGAGGTAAAGGTTCTTTGTGTGGAGGTAAAGGTTCCTTGTGTGGAGGTAAAGGTTCTTTGTGTGGAGGTAAAGGTTCTTTGTGTGGAGGTAAAGGTTCTTTGTGTGGAGGTGAAGGTTTATTGCGTGAAGGTAAAGGTTTACTGTGTGAAGGTAAAGGTTCTTTGTGTGGAGGTAAAGGTTTACTGTGTGAAGGTTAAGGTTCTTTGTATGGAGGTAAAGGTTTACCGTGTGAAGGTAAAGGTTCAGTGTGTGGATGTAAAGGTTTACTGTGTGAAGGTAAAGGTTTACTGTGTGAAGGTAAAAATTCATTGTGTGGAGTAAAGGTTTACTGTGTGAAGTTTAAGGTTTACTGTGTGAAGGTAAAGGTTTACTGTGTGGAGGTAAAGGTTTACTGCGTGAAGGTAAAGGTTTACTGTGTGAAGGTAAAGGTTTACTGTGTGAAGGTAAAAATTCATTGTGTGGAGTAAAGGTTTACTGTGTGAAGGTTAAGGTTTACTGTGTGAAGGTAAAGGTTTACTGTGTGGAGGTAAAGGTTCTTGGTGTGGAGGTAAAGGTTCCTTGTGTGGAGGTAAAGGTTCTTTGTGTGGAGGTAAAGGTTTCTTGTGTGGAGGTAAAGGTTCTTTGTGTGGAGGTAAAGGTTCTTTGTGTGGAGGTAAAGGTTCTTTGTGTGGAGGTGAAGGTTTATTGTGTGAAGGTAAAGGTTTACTGTGTGAAGGTTAAGGTTCTTTGTGTGGAGGTAAAGGTTTACAGTGTGAAGGTAAAGGTTCGTTGTGTGAAGGTAAAGGTTTACTGTGTGAAGGTAAAAATTCATTGTGTGGAGTAAAGGTTTACTGTGTGAAGGTTAAGGTTTACTGTGTGAAGGTAAAGGTTTACTGTGTGAAGGTAAAAATTCATTGTGTGGAGTAAAGGTTTAATGTGTGAAGGTTAAGGTTTACTGTGTGAAGGTAAAGGTTTACTGTGTGAAGGTAAAGGTTTACTGTGTGAAGGTAAAAATTCATTGTGTGGAGTAAAGGTTTACTGTGTGGAGGTTAAGGTTTACTGTGTGAAGGTAAAGGTTTACTGTGTGGAGGTAAAGGTTTACTGTGTGAAGGTAAAGGTTTACTGTGTGAAGGTAAAGGTTCTCTGTGTGGAGGTAAAGGTTCCTTGTGTGGAGGTAAAGGTTCTTTGTGTGAAGGTAAAGGTTTACTGTGTGAAGGTTAAGGTTTACAGTGTGAAGGTAAAGGTTTACTGTGTGAAGGTAAAAATTCATTGTGTGGAGTAAAGGTTTACTGTGTGAAGGTTAAGGTTTACTGTGTGAAGGTAAAGGTTTACTGTGTGAAGGTAAAAATTCATTGTGTGGAGTAAAGGTTTAATGTGTGAAGGTTAAGGTTTACTGTGTGAAGGTAAAGGTTTACTGTGTGAAGGTAAAGGTTTACTGTGTGAAGGTAAAAATTCATTGTGTGGAGTAAAGGTTTACTGTGTGGAGGTTAAGGTTTACTGTGTGAAGGTAAAGGTTTACTGTGTGAAGGTAAAGGTTCTTTGTGTGAAGGTAAAGGTTTACTGTGTGAAGGTAAAGGTTTACTGTGTGAAGGTAAAGGTTCTTTGTGTGGAGGTAAAGGTTTACTGTGGGAAGGTAAAGGTTCTTTGTGTGAAGGTAAAGGTTCTTTGTGTGGAGGTAAAGGTTTACTGTGTGGAGGTAAAGGTTCTTTGTGTGGAGGTAAAGGTTTACTGTGTGGAGGTTAAGGTTTACTGTGTGAAGGTTAAGGTTCTTTGTGTGGAGGTAAAGGTTTACTGTGTGAAGGTAAAGGTTTACTGTGTGAAGGTAAAGGTTTACTGTGTGAAGGTAAAGATTCTTTGTGTGGAGGTAAAGGTTCCTTGTGTGGAGGTAAAGGTTCTTTGTGTGGAGGTAAAGGTTTCTTGTGTGGAGGTAAAGGTTCTTTGTGTGGAGGTAAAGGTTCTTTGTGTGGAGGTAAAGGTTCTTTGTGTGGAGGTGAAGGTTTATTGTGTGAAGGTAAAGGTTTACTGTGTGAAGGTAAAGGTTCTTTGTGTGGAGGTAAAGGTTTACTGTGTGAAGGTTAAGGTTCTTTGTGTGGAGGTAAAGGTTTACAGTGTGAAGGTAAAGGTTCGTTGTGTGAAGGTAAAGGTTTACTGTGTGAAGGTAGTGGTTCAGTGTATGGAGGTAAAGGTTTACCGTGTGAAGATAAAGGTTCAGTGTGTGGATGTAAAGGTTTACAGTGTGAAGGTAAAGGTTTACTGTGTGAAGGTAAAAAATCATTGTGTGGAGTAAAGGTTTACTGTGTGAAGGTTAAGGGTTTACTGTGTGAAGGTAAAGGTTTACTGTGTGGAGGTAAAGGTTTACTGTGTGAAGGTAAAGGTTTACTGTGTGAAGGTAAAAATTCATTGTGTGGAGTAAAGGTTTACTGTGTGAAGGTTAAGGTTTACTGTGTGAAGGTAAAGGTTTACTGTGTGGAGGTAAAGGTTTACTGTGTGAAGGTAAAGGTTCTTTGTGTGGAGGTAAAGGTTCCTTGTGTGGAGGTAAAGGTTCTTTGTGTGAAGGTAAAGGTTTACTGTGTGAAGGTTAAGGTTTACAGTGTGAAGGTAAAGGTTTACTGTGTGAAGGTAAAAATTCATTGTGTGGAGTAAAGGTTTACTGTGTGAAGGTTAAGGTTTACTGTGTGAAGGTAAAGGTTTACTGTGTGAAGGTAAAAATTCATTGTGTGGAGTAAAGGTTTAATGTGTGAAGGTTAAGGTTTACTGTGTGAAGGTAAAGGTTTACTGTGTGAAGGTAAAGGTTTACTGTGTGAAGGTAAAAATTCATTGTGTGGAGTAAAGGTTTACTGTGTGGAGGTAAAGGTTTACTGTGTGAAGGTAAAGGTTTACTGTGTGAAGGTAAAGGTTCTCTGTGTGGAGGTAAAGGTTCCTTGTGTGGAGGTAAAGGTTCTTTGTGTGAAGGTAAAGGTTTACTGTGTGAAGGTTAAGGTTTACAGTGTGAAGGTAAAGGTTTACTGTGTGAAGGTAAAAATTCATTGTGTGGAGTAAAGGTTTACTGTGTGAAGGTTAAGGTTTACTGTGTGAAGGTAAAGGTTTACTGTGTGAAGGTAAAAATTCATTGTGTGGAGTAAAGGTTTAATGTGTGAAGGTTAAGGTTTACTGTGTGAAGGTAAAGGTTTACTGTGTGAAGGTAAAGGTTTACTGTGTGAAGGTAAAAATTCATTGTGTGGAGTAAAGGTTTACTGTGTGGAGGTTAAGGTTTACTGTGTGAAGGTAAAGGTTTACTGTGTGAAGGTAAAGGTTCTTTGTGTGAAGGTAAAGGTTTACTGTGTGAAGGTAAAGGTTTACTGTGTGAAGGTAAAGGTTCTTTGTGTGGAGGTAAAGGTTTACTGTGGGAAGGTAAAGGTTCTTTGTGTGAAGGTAAAGGTTCTTTGTGTGGAGGTAAAGGTTTACTGTGTGGAGGTAAAGGTTCTTTGTGTGGAGGTAAAGGTTCTTTGTGTGGAGGTTAAGGTTTACTGTGTGAAGGTTAAGGTTCTTTGTGTGGAGGTAAAGGTTTACTGTGTGAAGGTAAAGGTTTACTGTGTGAAGGTAAAGGTTTACTGTGTGAAGGTAAAGGTTCTTTGTGTGGAGGTAAAGGTTTACAGTGTGAAGGTAAAGGTTCTTTGTGTGGAGGTAAAGGTTTACTGTGTGAAGATAAAGGTTCTTTGTGTGGAGATAAAGGTTTACTGTGTGAAGATAAAGGTTCTTTGTGTGAAGGTAAAAGTTTACTGTGTGAAGGTAAAGATTCTTTGTGTGGAGGTAAAGGTTTACTGTGTGAAGGTAAAGGTTTACTGTGTGAAGGTAAAGGTTCTTTGTGTGGAGGTAAAGGTTTACTGTGTGAAGGTAAGGGATCTTTGTGTGGAGGTAAAGCTTCTCTGTGGGGAGGTAAAGGTTTACTGTGTGAAGGTAAAGGTTCTTTGTGTAGAGGTAAAGGTTTACTGTGTGAAAGTAAACGTTCATTGTGTGAAGATAAAGTTTTATTTTGTGAAGGTAAAGGTTCATTTTGGGGCGATAAAGGTTTATATTGGGGCGGTAAAGGTCCATTGTGTGAAGGTAAAGGTTTACTGTGTGAAGGTTAAGGTTTACTGTGGGGAGGTCAAGGTTCTTTGTGGGGAGGTAAAGGTCTACTGTGTGAAGGTAAAGGTTCATTATGGGAAAGTAACATTTCATTAAGAGTATGGAAAGGTTCACTATGCTGAGGCCAAGGTTGATTAATTGGAGGTAGAGATTCATTGTGGGGAGGTAAAGATAGTCACCACACTATCACAGTGCTATTGTAATAGTGGATGGTCCCTCGAGTGTCACAGTTGTAGGGCCGTGGATGAGTTACCTTTTGGCAAGAAATCATGCAAGATAATGAATTAACATTAAAAATACCTGCACATTCCCCCCAAAGTAGCATGGTTCTGACAAGGCAGCCTTTCTAATACTGTACTAAATCACAATTCAACACATGTCACTTCCACGTTGACAGCAATATGCGACTTCAAGCAAACTACACAATGGTATTATAATATATATCACATGCAATATACACCTCCAGTAGATTAACACCTGTGGTGTCAATGGCATCCGATACCTCAATGCGGGGGACTATTGACATACTCACTGTGTGTTAATATCAGTTAATACCACCCTCGCTGTGTGATAATGATTGTATGACCTTTCATGGCAGATGTGTTTATTACTTCTTGGTGTTTGTCAACATGATATGTACACATGTTTATTTCACTCCATTTTGGGCTGGTTTTGATGTGACATTTGGACTTCAAGGAGGTCATTGAGTGCATTTACGGGTTAATGGCCAATGTTTGATTCAGAATTCTTTGAAAGGGGCAAATTAAACAGCTGTAATAATTGTAAATTTTAAAATCTCTTTTTCTGTATTGGATAATAATCATATTAATATTAATATGATTATTATCCAATACTAAAATGATGTTAATGTTAATTATTTTAACTGCGGGTAGTATGTTCACTCTCCTTTTACAAAATCCGTTATTCACCTCTGAAACGTGAATATGAAATGAGTCTTGTCACATCTGTAAATAACAAAGTCGGATATGGCAATATATCTGATATATCGAGGGCATTTGTGATTCTTGAGCCGTGGAATTCAAAGGTTATGATTCAAGAAATCCCATATATAACGAAATGATCACCGGTTTTGTGAAGTCACTTTCACCCGGAGTTGAATGTGTGTTTATTCATATCATTTTAGTGAGAGGAACAAAGAAAACATGTATCGGTTCATGGTGAAAGGTGGACGATATGAGCCAATGCGCGTGCGTGAAATCTCAGCTCATACTACTTCCGGTTCATCTTCACGCGGACCTTCCCGCCCTCGCACTGCCATCGGCCTCCGCCACAGCACACCCCTCTCCAACCGGAGCGCCGACACACGAGATAAAGACCCCACGGGTAGTTTATTATTTCTTCTTACATCCTTGTCTCATAGTCCATTATCATATAAATGTGTTTTGGGTAATTATATAGGTGATTATTTTGATATTACAGGTGATCTTCTTGGTCATAAAAAAAACATTACTACGTTTTCCTCACTTCAAAATACCTTTCGGATGGGCTGACAATTTAAGATAAGGGTTGCCAAAGATGAATTTCAGATCCAAGGCATACAGGCAAAAGTTTAAATATAGTGAGTGAGTGAGTATGGTTTTACGCCGCTTTTAGCAAAATTCCAGCAATATCACGGCGGGGGACACCGGAAATGGGCTTCACACATTGTTCCCATGTCGGGAATCGAACCCGGGTGGTCGGCGTGACGAGCGAACGCTTTGACCACTAGGCTACCCGACTGCCCAGTTTAAATATATGTCTCTAATTGCGGCAATTTTGAAACAAATGGACGAGGGAGTGTTCATTGTGGCCTAGGTCAAATGAAGATGGAATCGGATTCTAAAGTGTTCTTTGCTCCTGCACATTAAGTTGCCAAGTATTTCAGTAGAAACTACGTTGTAGATGACGACCCTGAGACTGTGGACAGCCTGCGACTGAGTGGATCCATCACGCAGATGCCCTCTGACATGGCACGTGTTCTCGCAAAGCATGTCGGGAAGGTGGGTACTTCCGCTTTGCTGCTGTGTTGACAACATAACCCGTCCACACACAGTACCAGAACGGCGTTTTACACGAGTGTTAAGTCTGTTCGCTTATAGTAAACTTCGGTTATAACGAACTCAAAGGGACCACTAATTTCGTTCGTAATAACCGTAGTTCGTTATAAGTATATTTACAGCATATATACAACAAATGGCAAAAAATGGGACTAAAAAATAAGTTCGTTATATCGGTCAGTTCGTTATAAGCGTGTTCGTTATAAACGTAGTTTACTGTATTCCAATTTTAAAAAACCCGTCAAGCTGGTCAATGTGGAAGGAAAGTATAAGACTAAGACTACTTTTCCTATATTTCATCCGACCGACAATACATTTCTGAAATCATTTTTCTTTCCACTACCAACACCATATAGCAAAACATATAAACATTCTCAGCACAGATTAGTGATGAATACGTCATTCAGTGGTGCTATTGATAAGATTTTATATGAACAAGTTTCTGTCGTTAAATATATCCTTACATATGACATTTAAATGTTGATATTGTTGGTACAAACTTGACTGCTACAAGATACTTGTATTTCCACTTTCAGCAAATGTCAAAGGACCAGATTCAGCAGATACTACGGGTATGTACCCTCCACTAAATGTCGCCATATGGAGCTGAGGTGAAATGGGGTTGAACGTCGCGTTCAAGATCATTGCACTCATATAGCTACGTGTGTGTGCCCTAGCCTATTGAGATACAATTCCTCAGTTTAATGGTACCCACACACTAAACTGACTCCGAGCCGACCAGCCCTTGTCCTGTCTCCTAAATGCCGAGCACCATCTTTTCATCAAGTACCATCATTTGACGTCTTTTGGTATGACGCGACCAGAGACCGAACCCCAGACCTTCCGCCCTCCGGGTAGACGCTCTGTCCACGAGACCAAGGAGGCGGTACACCATATGGAACTAATATGTAGAACATGAACACGTTCCTCGGTCTGTTTCGTAAATGAATCGGGGAAAACAAGAATGATTCCAAAGGGGGGTTGTATCGGCTTTTGATGGTCCAGCTTGTTTCATTCAAATCTTACTCATATTTTACGGGTATATTTCATGTATACCAAACCTGCAGTTAGGTATCACACAAGGGAACAATTACATCCTAGATCTAGATTGGAAATAAGCATTGTATCTCTTTGAATGTGAAGTTTGACTTGAGCTAATTTAAAAACATGAAACATGTCCATAATTACAGGAAATATCTACGAAAAGCAGATTGTACGATTCCGACTGTATCCTAAACATGTGTATATGAATCACTATCAAATAGTGATGATATCAGGTGTTCGCGAAAAGGTGAACGTATCCCGCTCATAAGGTGGCACCCGTCACAGACAGGCCCTTGAGGTTATTCAAATGTCCCCGAACAATAACGGATGCACGAGAATTGTCTGTCAGCGGTTTTTTTTGTGCATGGCATTGTAGCTTCGACATTTCTACACAGCACTGACTGTTGTTCACAGGAGGGAGACTGCAGAGAGCTACTGAAACTCTTGGATGAGAGCAGTGAAGTGGGGAGACAACTCCGTATGGCCATGGAAGCACCTTCGGGAAAAGAGGGATTTACAGTAAGACACATTTATGCTTTGGTTTCTGCGTGAGTTAGACAGTTGTTGTTTCTTTTGCCGCATTTATCAATGTTTTAGCCGTATCACGGTGTGGAACACCAGAGTGAGTATGGTTTTACACCGCTTTTAGCAATTTTCCAGCAATATCACGGAGGGGGACACCAGGGCCCACTTTCACAAAGCGATCTTAGCGCTAAGACTATTGTTAGCGTATGTTAAAGTATGGGAGTTACGATAATCTTAGCGCTAAGATCGCTTTGTGCAAGTGGGCCCAGAAGTTGACTTCGCGCATTGTACACGAGGGAATCGAACCGCATCTTCAGCGTGACGAGCTAACGTTGCGCCATATCCTCCATTGTGTTTTGTGTGGAAAGAAACGACTATTCTTGATTTCACAATGAGTACGGGATTAATCTAAAATATTACCAGTTTACGCAATGATTAACCGTTTAAAGCTTTATTAATCCATTTATGTTACTATTACTATCGTGTATACATATACCTATGCCTAAATTCTTCTGAATATGTTCTGAATAAGTACCATGGCTACCACTGAAACTGTTTTTGTGAGAATGAATGGATGAGTTTGGTTTAACGCCGCTTCAAACAGTATTACAATTATTTCACGTCAAGTCAGCTTGATGTGGGAAGAAAGCCTGAAGTGATGCAGATCTCTCAGACGCTTCTCCTTTGAAATTAAAGGTGACTATGCTTGTGGTAAGAGGCGACTAACGAGATCGGGTGGTCAGGCTCGATGACTTGGTTGATGCATGTCATGGTATTCCAATTGCGTGGATCGATGCTCATGACGTCCGTCGCTGGATTGTCTGCTCCAGACTCGATTATTTACAGACCGCCGTCATGTGGCTGGAATATTGCTGAGAGCGGGTGAAACAAGCAACCAACCACCCTTTGAAGTCCGCGAGCTCGAGTATGTTAACAATCCAAAACTTACTATTAATGCAAATCTGGAATTCGAATCCACCAGCATAGGATGTTGGCGTGCAAGAAAGCACAACTCTCAATAGCGCCTAACATCCACAGGGGAACATTTTGAGACACGTTTTGGCAAACAAAGAATTCGTAGCATGACTGTGTCAGGTATGCCCTGTCGGTGTTTTGTAATATAAATCGTGAGTTGAAGCTAGACTTACGCTAAATCTTTGATACTTTTGAGTGAGTGAGTTGAGTTTAACGCCGCTTTTAACAGTATTCCAGTTATATCACGTCGTGTCAGCTTAATGTGGGAGGAAAGCCCGGAGTGATGCAGGTCTCAGACGTTTACCACTTCGGTGAAACCCACGAGCACGGGTATGGTGCTGACAAACCTAGAAACATAATCGGGGCGAACCGGGATTCGAGCCCACAATCATAGGTTTCTGGCGTGCCCAAGGGACGCAACTCTGCACAACGAATCGCGGCGCCTTAGACAACTGGGCCACCCGTGCCCCCCTGATACTTTTGATATAAACAAAAAACTCCATTGAAATTGAAAAGGAAACCATTGAGATGGGAGATTCAGGAACCAAAACCTGAGGAAAATCTCGACTTGCTTCTTTTAGTAATCTGCATTACAGATAGGGCTGGGCGGAAGGGAAAATAGTATGGTTCAGAGACTGTGAGACAGACAAAGTTGTAGCGCTCATAAGAAGCTGGTTAATGTGACATAGGGGAGGTAACTCTTGTTGTTGTCTGTGAGGTTTCAATCACTATCCCCCTCAATCTCTGTAGAAGACAACGGTTTTGATGACGATGAAGACGGATGACATCGTGCGGAAGGCGAAAGAAATGGCCGAGAGCAAGGGCGATAACCGCAGCAATGACATAGACGACGACGGCCAAGAGTAAGTTAAAATGAATGCAAACAGTTTATTTGATGATGCTCGTTTTTCACACCATATTTTGTCAGTATTCATAGCTGGTTGGTAAACTAATTTGGACCCACGAAGTATGAGCTGGTTCGGAGAGTCACTTCGTGTTCATTGTGTCAAGCTGTAAAAGTGGATTAATTATTTTTATCATATATTGTTATAAAATTCTTAAACCATGACATTCCTGGGATTAAACAAAGGTTAGCTCTAGCAGAACAGTTGCTGTAAGAGTTGCTATCGGAAATGCTCGCGAAAACAGTCCACCCGTACTCATCACATCTTCCCGAGACAAGGGAGTTAACTCATCATCAAGCTTTCGTAGTGCCTACACAACCAGAAGTGTGGGAGAAGGATTAATCCCAGAACCTGATTCACAGTATGAGTGAGTGAGTGAGTGAGTATGGTTTTACGCCGTTTTTAGCAATGTTCCAGCAATATCACGGCGGGGGACACCAGAAATGGGCTTCACACATTGTACCCATGTCGGGAATCGAACCCGGGTCTTCGGCGTGACGAGCGAACGCTTTAACCACTAGGCTACCTGACCGCCCCTGATTCACAGTATGATGGATAGGTTTATCTCTGTGAGAGCTTGTAGAAATGTATTTTAGGTTATAAGATAATTGAAAAGTGAATGTGTGAGTTGGGTTTGCGAAGCTGTTAACACTATTTCAGGAGGGGGGCTTCACTTATCCGTGCTACCTTGGGAACCTGAATACTGAACTTCCGAATGGCAAACGAATGTTTTATCCACGGGATTCCTCCCCATCTTCTCCACAGAACAACCTTGCTTCGTGTTTCAGATGGAACACTGTCCTCCACGAAGAAAACAAACACGCCAAAGCCCAGATAGCAGCAGACAGATTCCGAGTTGCGCATCTCTCACGGAAGATGAAAGCCCTTACGAAGAGACGGGAAACTCTCAGACAGAAGCTTGCTCCCAAGCAGACGACAGAACCGCCGCCACCGCCGCCGCCACCACCCAAGACGTTCATCCTGGACAAGATCCAGCAGGATTACCAGGGTCTCCATCCAGAGGAAGCCAAGAAGAAGGTAACACTAAACTCGGAGAGTGACGTCCAGTGAGTCAGTAAATTTGGTTTGGGAGGAATATCCAAAAGTCTTAGACAATGACCTTGCTTATGATCATGCAACGCACGAGTGAGTGAGTGAGTTGGGTTTAACGTCGCTTTTAACATTATTCCAGTTATATCACGGCGTGTCAGCTTAATGTGGGAGGAAAGCCCGAAGTGATGCAGGTCTCAGACGTTTACCACTTCGGTGAAACCCACGAGCACGGGTATGGTGCTGACAAACCTAGAAACATTATCGGGGCGAACCGGGATTCGAACCCACAATCATAGGTTTCTGGCGTGCCCAAGGGACGCAACTCTGCACAGCGAATCGCGGCGCCTTAGACGACTGGGCTCCCCGTGCCCCCTGCAACGCGCGATCAGCAGATACTGGTACGCCTAAGGTGAGGCGCCAAGTGAGTGAGTGAGTGAGTATGGTTTTACGCCGCTTTTAGCAATATTCCAGCAATATCACGGCGGGGGACACCAGAAATGGGCTTCACACATTGTACCCATGTCGGGAATCGAACCCGGGTCTTCGGCGTGACGAGCCAACGCTTTAACCACTAGGCTACCCGACCGCCCCGTGAGGCGCCAAGACGCCCAGAGAGGCGAAGTTAGAGGATATGCTCCACTTCAGTGAAAGCAAAGTTGTAAATAAAGGAGTATTTTGGGGGTCGGAAGGTCAATATGTCAAGGGGGTTTTAAATATCCAACACGGACGTCACAGTTTGCAAATCACCAGTATCACGTATCTTTATAATAAACTGGAATATCAGGATTTCAAGCTCCATACAAGGATGCGATGCCTTCTTTCTTAATTAACTCTTGACTCACGTCCCCAATATGCTCAGATAGGGTTTCCCAGTGATTCGCCCTGATTCTGTAAACAAACATTGCTGCAAGTTCTTTAGCACTATCATTCGTGACCAACTCGTGTTATTCCGGGACAAGCCGAATAGCGACTCGTGCCCCTCTCATGGCCATTTTGCGACCGGGTTCCGTCTAAGCGCAAACGGGCATACCTAAAACAGATGCAATTTAAAGCACATCGGGACATGCGGAATTATACAGTATGATTGACCACATTTAACTGTATCTTTGGTATATTTGTAGATGCAAGACGTATGTTAAATCAAAAACTATTTCTGAGGGATTCTTTGACGAAGAACTTGAAATCATACGCGCATTCTGATTGGTTTGTCGTATTTTCGCACATAACATTCATCGATAAGGGGACGAGTCTTCTTGCAGGTAACGGAAAGGGGCGAGTGGTGACGAATGTAGCACCATGTGATAAACTTTGGTCAATTCACTCAGGCGCTGTATTCATACGCGGTTTCTAAATCTACTTTTTTGACTGAAATTACTTCTAAAACACCTATTATTCTAAGAATGACGTTATGATAAAGACATTATTTCACTCGTGTGATAAAGGCTCGCATAATACAAATTGTGTTCTTAATATGTGATGTTTATGGCACAGAAACACGAGAGAGTCGGCTGATTCCCTTTATTTATCACCTATTAAACCCACGAGGACGAGTAAGGCCCTAATAGTGCAGGGTTCATTATCGGAGTGAATCTCAAACGTGAAATATTGGATCCCATATAGGCGGATCGACCCTCGCCCACCTTTTTGAAACCCATATGTAGTATTTGTACACAATACCCCCCTACCCCATTAGAAGAGTGAGTGAGCTGGGTTTAACGCCGCTTTTAACAGTATTCCGGTTATATCGCGGCGTATCAGCTTAATGTGGGAGGAAAGCCCGAAGTGATGCAGGTCTGAGACGTTTACCACATCGGTAAAACCCACGAGCCCGGGTATGGTGCTACAAACCTAGAAACATAATCGGGGCGAACCGGGAATCGAACCCACAATCATAGGTTCTGGTGTGCCTAAGGGACGCAACTCTGCACAGCGAATCGCGGCGCCTAAGACGACTGGGCCACCCGTGCCCCGAAGGGCAGAAGAAGACTGTTCCTGTGGTAAAAGCAGTGTCACGTGTAACGCATCGAAGTACATGTAAGTTATGGAGACTCAATTCGTGCTTCTCATTGGCAGACCCAAACAATAGGACTGACCGCCCTCTTCCTAGCACGGAACCTATCTAGGAGACACCGCCAGTCTTCCGATACAAGCTTACTTCAAGAATCCGGTGAGCGCAGGAACGAGGCTGTTGAAACGCTTGCAACGGTATGAAATCCACATATGTTCTTACAAGTTAAAGTGACGTATATTTCAGTTCTTTGTTTGTCAGTGCACTTTACAATATTCCAGGCTGTAAACAATCAGACAATCCAGTGATCGATATTATGAGCGACGTCCCACGACATCTGAGGACATCCAATTACGGGTCACGTCAGAACGACCTTTCCGGAACTTTGACCGACCAATGAAATGCTTACAATAAGTGGACATTAGCCAATCAGAAAGCAGCTTCCTCGAGCCTTACGGACTAGTTTCAAACTGGCGACTTCCATTCCAGACGATTCTTTGAATAATATTTTTATAAGGTATCTGTTCAAAATTCGAAAAAATTGAAATGTCTGGTAGGTGTCCGAAACCATACGGCAGTATTCCCCACGGGCTGTGGACAGTCGCTTCCATTGCTGCATCCGTGGGCTGTTGGTAGAGCGTCCGCCCGGAGAGCGGAAGGTCCGGGGTTCGATCCCTGGCCGCGTCATACCAAAAGACGTTAAAAGATGGTTCTTGTTGTTACCCTGTCTGGCGCTCGGCATTAAGGGACTTGTTGTTACCCTGTCTGGCGCTCGGTATTAAAGGACTAAAACAAGGACGTGTTAACCTTTTCCAGGTTGCATGATGAGAAAACCCATTCCAATTGTCACTTTTCTGATCTGGTAAGCTACGCTCTGAAAGGTTGTTCTGACGAGACCCGTAATTGGATGTCCTCAGATCCTCGTTTAGAGGTAGCGAACTAAGATCTGATTTTAAAGAGATTCATGATATGTTCGGAATTTTACAAGGGACTCTGTTTTTAGCAGACATTTCTTATGATTATGAAAAGGGTTTTGTCGCTTTTATTTCGATAGTCATAGCGCTAAGATCGCTTTGTAGAACGGGGCCCTGGTTCTTAACCTAACTGTAGAATGTGTTACAGTAGACTACGGTTAAAACGAACACGCTTATAACGAACTGACGGATATAACGAACTTACTTTTTGGTCCCGACTATTTGCTGTAGTTATGCTGTATATATACTTATAACGAACTACGGTTATAACGAACTACAATTAGTAGTCCCTTTGAGTTCGTTATAACCGTAGTTTACTGTACGTTGCCTGTTCACCTATGCCCACCATATGACTACACTGACTGAATTAAGTACCAGTCTATTTGATATAAACGAAGGCAAAAGTAATAGTAGACACTTTTACAACTGCCACTTACATGCTGATTTTATTTGTACAGCATGACAACAAACGGCCGATCAGCGCCCCAACATCCATGATGAACCTTACAAGGCACACAGCAGTGCGCGGTGGGTGATGCGCGTGAGACTGTCTAAAGCTGCTTAAAACACAACTTCAGCTATATCACGGCATGTCAACTTACTGTAGGGAGAAACTCAAAAGTGACTTAGATCTTAGACGTATACTGTTTTTTGTAAACCACACGAATCTTGTATTCAAACCCACGCAGAGCGGTTCCTGATGCGACGATGGACACAATCCGGCAGAGTGAGTGAGTGAGTGAGTGAGTATGGTTTTACGCCGCGTTTAGCAATATTCCAGCAATATCACGGCGGGGGACACCAGAAATGGGCTTCACACATTGTACCCATGTCGGGAATCGAACCCGGGTCTTCGGCGTGACGAGCGAACGCTTCAACCACTAGGCTACCCGACCGCCCCCAACCCGGCAGAGAGAAATGCACGACTTTAGCCTTTGATGATGACATGAATACAATTTACTTTGTGTCAGAATTCGAAATGGTAATGGAAATTTAAAAAATTGGAAGTTTAACTTACCCCTTGATATATGTCCATCATGTTCACAAAAAATGTGAAATGGTACTAATTTATTTTGAGTAGATCATACAAGAAGCAATGGTCAGGAATCATTTGGATAAATATCTATGTTTGCAGCAGTTGGTGTTCTCATTCCAGATCTCAAGATCAAGACCAAACCAGACACAAAGGGGAGACAATCCGGCCTGACACGTGATCAGCTCAAACCTCCAATGGTGGTCCGAAAAATCAAAACAGAACAAACAAAAATAGCACCTCGTCCTGCGCTGCCTAGACCGAGACAGTTCCTGTCCTAGCACGTTCATACCCGGATGTAGACTATTCCTTGAGGAAATGATGGTTGTGTTTTGCCATTTAACCCCCTTTGACACCACTGCCTGAATAGAGTGTGGCCTCAGGGTACCTTAACGCTTTGCTACAGCAACATCGTCGATCTACGTCATTACACAGTGGCCAGTCAGATTAACAGAGTCCAGTTAAACAGGGTCCAGTTAAACAGGGACGAGACGATTTATAATGATTTATAAAGGCAGCCTCGGCCAAAATCCCGAAGACACTTCTTTATAGATGAAATCACAATCTGGAGACTTGTCGAGTGTGTGTGAAATGGGGAAGAAGCAATGTCTGCTCAACTAGAGTCAATATGGCAGTCCCAGTCTAATCTATGGAGAGGAGCCCACCTTTAAGATCAAACCGCCATCGGGACTGAAGTCGAGTGTGTGGTCTCGTCACAAGAGGTTATCTCATCTTGGCTTTCACAAACTCCATAAGCGAATCACCAGCTACGTTAACATTGATGCCAGGGGCATAATTTCCGTGTCTATCAGACAATCAACGAGGGGATGGATTAAAATTACTCATCCTAAACTTAATATAAAAGCGAAATACGGATGACAATTGTGTCATGGAGAATTAACGTAAATGTGTCCCATGTGGAGTAATTCAAACTTGGACTGTTTCCAGGTCAAGTCACAAGTTGTAGACAATATGTGAAAATAAAACATAATAATCTCAGAAACAGCGTCAACAAATGTAGTGATTCTTCAAATGAATTTTTGTTTTCATTAGGATGTTCTTTAAAGTTCAAGACATATTTATAGCTACTCTCTGACATCAAATAAACCACACTACACAGTCAAATACAGACACACTCTCCTCACTTGATTGCTGATGTTCAGATCACTTTGAGGTGAGGTGAGGTGAAATGGGGTTTAACGTCGCTTCCAAGATTATTGCACTTATATAGCGACGTGCATGTGTTTGTGTGGCTGCTTGTACTGGTCCGGACTGATGCCGATTTATAGTGCTAGCTCACTTAGATACCATGCCGCACTTAACATGAATACCCCACTAAGACACAGTATACTGACTCCGAGCCGACCAGTCCTTGTTTTAGCCCCTTAATGCCGAGTGCCAGACAGGGTAGCAACAAGTACCATCTTTTAACGTCTTTTGGTATGACGCGGCCGGGGATCGAACCACGGACCTTCCGCTCTCCGGGCGGACGCTCACCACTAGACCACGGAGGCGGTCAGATCACTTTGAATGCACATGGTGAACATCAGTGCCTTGACCACAGTTAGATCATTTGAAAATTACGATTCGGATTCAAGTTTTTTGGCTTTTACGCCACGTTTGGCAATATTGAAATCATATCACGGCAGGGCTCACCAGTAATGTCCTTTGCCATATTCGGAATCGAACCCTGGTCTTCGTCGTGACAAGCCAACGCTTTATCAACTGGGCTATCATCCAGTTCCCAGTTTCGAATTTCGACCTTGTGGTTTTAAGGTAAATAAATGAATACGATAACTAATGTAGCGGGTGTAAAACACTATCTGTCTCTCACTCATGTGCATTACGATAGACATCAACGCAAGCTTTGTGTTTAAGATAACAGAGGACGTGGGTGAGGGAAGAGTCCACTAATGCCTACAGTCTAAAACATTTATATGGTTCATTGGTTTTACATGTGATACCCTGCTACCTCTCTGCAGAGTTGAACTGGCCCATTTTAGTGTACTATTGCCTACAGTGACAAATGACAAACACTAGCAAATATTTAGTGTTTTTTCTTTATTCATACATTTCTTCTGATATTTCATACATCATCCATAGTTTCATTTATCATATTTCATGTACATTAGGATTCAAACATCACATTCACACTCCCATTTTATCACACATCTTACATTATCCATATATACATTTCATTCAGTTTCATTTATCATATTTCATGTACATTATATACATATCAGACTGACAGTAACATTTCGAAGGCATTAATTAGTCTGTGTTTACAGTGTAGGCATTAGTGAACACTAAGTAGAGTAGACCACTGGAGTGCAGGGGCGCGTGAAACAGTGTGTACACTAAAACAACAACTTTTGTAGGCATTAGTCACTGTAGGCATTTGTCACTGTAGGCATTAGTAGACCTAACCTGGGTGAGAGAGCTTTAACAAAGCAAAACGTTCAGTTGTGTGGATGACTGGTGTCATCAATGGTTAGAGGAAAGCCCAAAGTGACATAAAGTTCTACCAGTTTCCAGAAACCTACAAACTCGGATATGGTGCAGACAAACAAAGGTTCATAAGCACCTCACAGCGATAGCTGTTCGCTGAGCTCACTATATTATACAAGGAACAATATTTAAGAGGACACCCAAATGATGTAGTGAAGTCAATATCTGGTCCATGCCCCGTAAGCATCGATGCAGGCGCGACATCTTCTGGCCATACTGTTATCAAACGCTGGATTGCCTCCCGTTGTACCCTCAGCCATTCTTCTTGTAAGGTCTGCACGAGCTGTTCCAAAATTTGGGAACGGTTGCGAACCCTTAGGCACAGAACATCCCCGATATGTTCAATCAGTGACATGTGGTGAGATTTGTCTGGCCAGGACAATGTTGTGATGTCTTGCTGCCAATGACAGTCGACTGCAACACGACCTCTGTGGTGACGTGCGTCGTCATCCTGGAACTCAAAGTTCTGGGAGTTATCTTCTAGGCCTTCCCCTCTTCCTCCCCAGAGGAATATCACACTTTTAGATTTACCAAAGTAATATTCTGTGATTGGCCGGCCTTCAATCATACGTTTATTGGCACATGCCAGTTACCAGGATGTGTCACCATGGACGACATGTTTTACATGTACAATGTGCAAGGTTTGAGTGAGTTTGCTATCCCCGTTCAGAAACTGTGTCTCTTGCAACAAAGATGGTCATTTCATTATTATAGCTGAAATTACAGTTGTTCCCTTAAATATTGTTCCTCGGTGGGATACGAAGAAGTCACGCGCTTTGAAAGACCGTGGCAGCGGCCAAGGGACGCAACTCTGCACAGTAAGCAGGGACGTCTGTGGATGACTACAGAGCCGTTTTGTAAGACAATTTCTCGTCAGGTTGTAACCAGCCTTGGAAGAAAAGGAGAAATTGCATCTATGTAATAAGGACAATCTGTCCTTCCTGGATTGATCTACTTTCAAATGAGTCCTGCAGATTTTACAAAGAGTGCATCATACGCGTCTGGACACCTTCTACAGTTAACAGAGACCTATATACATATTGCTAACGGCGTCAAGAAGGATGTTGCATTTATGATCATATTATGGTAATTATCGCACCAGCCCCCGGGACGGGCGTCAGTCCATACAAACATACATTCGGAACGTTCTCTTCCAGTTACCAAGGATGGACGCCGCGAAATAATTGGAATAACGTTAAAAACAATTTTCATTATTAAAAGTATGCGATGGCAGATCTGTCATAAACAACGCAGTGTCTGTTTGTGCTGGCAAAATACAGATTGTGAAGATTAATGCGTTGTAATTTAAAATGGTCGTCGCAATTTCCTAAATTAAGATGGGGTTGGTTTAAACTTGAGCAACGAGGCAACGAGTGGCTATCAATATATATTGTACTCAAAAGAAGTTAAAGAACGCCCGATATTAATAGTATATCTATATCTATATCTATATCTATATCCGGGTCCGGGTTAAAGAAGGGGCACCCCCCTTTTGAAAACCAAATGCAGAAAGGATATTAGTATTTTGGACCCCTCCCTTTTAAAAGTGCTGCATCCGCCCTTATATTGAGTGAGTGAGTGAGTTGGGTTTAACGCCGCTTTTAACAGTATTCCTGTTATATCACGGCGTGTCAGCTTAATGTGGGAGGAAAGCCCGAAGTGATACAGGTCTCAGACGTTTATCCCTTCGGTGAAACCCACGAGCACGGGTATGGTGCTGACAAACCTAGAAACATAATCGGGGCGAACCGGGATTCGAACCCACAATCATAGGTTTCTGGCGTGTCCAGGGGAAGCAACTCTGCATAGCGAATCGCGGCGCCTGAGACGACTGGGCCACCCGTGCCCCCTGAGGCATCTTGAAATTTACCTACCGATTATCATGTTATATCTGAAATCCTTATTCTGTGCAGGGAGGATGGTCTGGATGTAATTTCTGGGGAACACATAACTGCGAATGCTTAGCCTGGTTGGCGACACATCGCGAGATCCTTTCACCTTAGGGGCCAACTATTTGATAATCGGGGAGGGGGACTCGTCTGAGAAATTTGGAAAACAATAAATGTTTTGTTCTTAGGTTTTACAGATTAAAGTAAATCATAAACTTGACATGCTGGATGTTCTGAAAAAAATGTCTTGTGGATTAAGAAAATAGCTGACATTGACTGAAAATATTACATATGAAACAAAAATTCCAGAATATAAAATGGTAGGTCCCAAATTGTGATGTGAACAAGGAGAGATCCATCAAACCGGGGTCTGCGGAAGAGTCACGCGGTGCACGTGGAGTTCATGCTCTGATTGTATTTATTCGTCAATGCCCCACTTTCGATGAAATGAAGTAACGCTATGAACTTGGAGGTAAATGATCAAGGAAGTAACTGGAATACAGATTTTTTTTAAAATTATGATTTGTAGCTTATCGGAGTTATAGAAATACACTGTAAGTCCTTAAAGAGTGATCTGTAGCCCCCAGGAGTGGCAAATAAAAATATGAAAAAAATAACCAAACGGTGAATGGAAGATGGATATGGGAAACGCAACTAGCCATCCCCAAGCTGTCTATTCCTGCCTTCAAGGATTGATAGAGGTTTTCATGACTGTCGGCTGGTTGTGCTGTGTCATGTTGGTTGGTTTGTTGTTTAAAGCCGCACTCAGCAATATTACAGCTATATGACGGCGGTCTGTAAATAATCGAGTCTGGACCAGACAATCAAGTGATTAATATCATGAGCATCGATCCATGCAATTGGGATCGATGACATGCATCAACCAAGTCAGCGAGCCTGACCACCCGATCCCGTTAGTCGCCTTTTACGACAAGCATTGTCAACTTTTACGGCAAGCATGGGTTGCTGAAGACCTATTCTACCCCGGAATCTTCACGGGTCGTTGCATGGCATGGACTTACAGAACGAATCTGTTGCCCCCTGCCCAGGGACTGGGAAACATTAAGCAGAGCTTTGGTAAGCATATTTAAACCCTGATGTGAAAACAACACCTACATTAATCTCCAATCGCTTTGAAGATGGTTTTACTGCTTTCAATAAAGTAAAGAACATCAAGTCAATAGCTCATGGCGACCATTAAGAGACAGTTTATTGGTTTTTTTTACTTCTTCTTACAAATGAGGTCCAAATGAAGGTATCATATTTACGATCAATATAAAGAAGGACAGAATGATTTGTTACACAAACTAGATGGGAGAATTTTTGAATATTCATAAACTCCTCACACATGGAACACAGGCCAGTGTCACCTCGAGGCTGATTACGTTAAGATTAATAAATATATTCTGCTTCCACAATAGTGATCAGTGATCTGATAACGACCAATAAAAGCGTGGGAAGGGTAAGGGAATGTATTTCAGTCGGAATGACAAACAATTTTTATCAAGCGAGTCATGACTTTACCTCGGGTGTTTCCGTTGGGGAAGGATATGTAATTGTGATTGTTTCTGAAGGAAGACAGTTGAACAGGTATCTCGGTGGCGCCTGGACGCAGATTTGAGAGTCCAAGATGGCGGGTCGTACCATATACAGTGTGGTTAAAACTGCATTTGTCTTATCGCAAGCTTTGTTTTATGTCGGAGCTGTTGTGTTTAAGATAGAAGCGGAAGACATCGCCCTTGGACCAGCTCAAGGAAACGTGATGTTGAGGTCGAAAGCGTCGCACTATAAAACGCTTCTGAGAGGGGAGTTCGACAAGGGTGCGCTTCAGCAGACGTTTTGTTTGAAGAAATCGGCCAATTTTTCCATTTTGGACGTTCGCTACTCCAATGACGGCCACACAAAAGATCTGTTTGAGGTGTTGATCGACGGACGGTCTTGCGGTAAGAAGTATACCCAACCGGACACAAACTACGGTCATGTTTGGAACGACTTTAAGAGCACGGGACCTTTCGACAACGTCCTTCCCGTCGAAGCTGGAGTTCACACCCTCAAGGTCATTGTCAGAGAGTGTGACAAGTTTGGCATGGAGTTTGATGAAATAATGGTCGAGATTTCTGATCCCGACTTCGACCCTGACGACTTCCGCTGCAAAGCAGTGTGTGTTGATGGGGAGAAGAAGAGCTATCAGTCCCTCCCCACTAACGCTGGCATCCGAAAGGCAGGAATTACTGTCCAGGTGGAAGACTCCCATTGTCCCCTTGACGACAACGTCCACGTGAAGTTCTACCATAACCTTGCTTCTTCCTTTGTCCTTAAAGGCGTTCATCCAAACTACAGGTATTTAACCATTTCTTAATTTGTTACGCTTTAATTTTCTAGAAGATCTAGAAGTACTATATTTTTCTTTTAGTTATATAATCGTAAGAGAAACACCAAATGTTGAATAACATGCGTTCCGATGCGTTGATGCACCTATTTAGAGGTGAGGTGAGGTGAAATTGGGTTTAACGTCGCGTACTTCAACATAGACTTGCGTAAGTGTTAGCGCTAACATCGCTTTGTGGAACGATAGTCGTAAGTCTGTGTTCAAGTATGGGATTTACGATCGTCTCAGCGCTAAGATCACTTCATGACACAGTCCCCCGTACTATATGTCGGGTTGTAGGTGAGGTGAAATGGGGTTTAACGTCGCGACCAAGATTATTGCACTTATATAGCGACGTGCATGTACGTGTGTGTGTGGCTGCTTGTACTAGTCCGTACTGATGCCGATTTATAGTGCTAGCTCACTGAGATACCATGCCGCAGTTTAACATGAATACCCCACCCAGACACAGTATACTGACTCCGAGCCGACCAGTCCTTCTTTTAGCCCCCTTAATGCCGAGTGCCAGAAAGGGTAACAACAAGTACCATCTTTTAACGTCTTTTGGTATGACGCGCCCGGGGATCGAACCCCGTACCTTCCGCTCTCCGGGCGTACGCTCTACCTCGAGACCACGGAGGCGGTCTTTATGACATCATACTTTGCACTTTAGATATGGTTTGCCCAGAGTATCACGCATGTGTATATGGATCTCTGAACGTATCTTTGTGTCTCTCTGTATGAATAGCTTTAGTCACCGATTCTAGAAATAATTGCGGTTATGTATTTTATTCGTAAATCCATTGTCTGTAAATAATTGAGTCTGGACCAGACAATCCAGTGATTGACATCATGAGCATCGATCCACGCGAGCCTGACCACCCGATCCCGTTAGTCGCCTTTAACGACAAGCATAGTCGCCATTTACGGCAAGTATGGGTTGCTGAAGACCTATTCTACCCCGGATTCTTCACGGGTCCAATTCTTTATATATTATTTCTACTACATGTATGCATTCCACGGTTTAGGATCAAACTGTTGCATTTAGCTGTTTTTCATGTCACATTCACCTGAGTTTGTCAGTGAGTGAGTATTGTTTTACGCCGCTCTAAGCAGTATTCCAGCAATATCACAGCACATGTGGGGAATCGAACCCGGGTCTTCCGCGTGAAGAGCGAACGCTTTGACCACTAGGTTACCCCGCCGTCCTTATAGTGTGTTTGAATCTACCATTCAACAGCCCACGTGTTATATCGGATAAGAATTGGTCCCCTGAAACCTATACCGGTCGTAAGAGGCGACCAATTGGTTAGAGTGGTCAGGCTCGGTGACTTGGCTGATGGAATGTCAACGTACCCCGATGACGTGGACCTTTCCTCACAATATCAATCACAGGATTGTCTGGGCCACAATTGAATATTTACAGCCCGCTGTCATATAGATTGCCGGGCGTGGCGTGAAAAAACAAACAAACTTTCACTCGTATTTCAGTTATAGGCCAGATTAACGTAGCGGAACCGCCTGATTAACTCCGGTCGAGCAGGTTGACAAGATTTGTTAAACCCACGAGCAAAGATGTATATTGCTATCACAGCGATGCTTATAATCGAGTTTCTGGCGGCATATTAGAAGTTCAACGTTGCGCGGTAGACGAGTTTGTTCTTAGACATGTGTTGGTTCAATTCATGTATAATTTACACAATAATACATTGTCACATGCACCTTATTATAAATTGTCATACGTGAAGATCCAGAGGATATGTGTGTTTTCTTATCAGAAAAGATGTTTACCCCATCAAGTGACCTGAAAAGTCGCCATTCTCCTGATCGGCGCAGCCACAAGTGAAAATATCGACTTTGTCAGGTCACTAGACAACAATATATTTTGACGCATTTTTTAACACATCTTCACAATCCTTCTCTGAAAATTATCATTGAAGTAGACTGAAAGAAGTTCCTGCATTAATTGTTATTTCACTCCAGAGGGATATCGATTTAGTATTTTCAGATAAACACAGTATTTCATCACTAGATAATACTATGTGTACATATTCACATGCCGTTTCAATCCCTTTCAGTGAGTGAGTGAGTGAGTTGAGTTTAACGCCGCTTTTAACAGTATTCCAGTTATATCACGGCGTGTCAGCTTAATGTGGGAGGAAAGCCCGAAGTGATGCAGGTCTCAGACGTTTACCACTTCGGTGAAACCCACGAGCACGGGTATGGTGCTGACAAACATAGAAACAAAATTGGGGCGAACCGGGATTCGAACCCACAATCATAGGTTTCTGGCGTGTCCAAGGGACGCAACTCTGCACAGCGAATCGCGGCGCCTTAGACGACTGGGCCAACCGTGCCCCCTGAGAATATGTAACATGGAAGAGCAATATGAATTGGCTTAGTTCGTCATACTGTTCCTTTCCTGGGGTCAAAAATAAAATTGCTTGACCCATGAGTAGTATATATTGATTTTCACTTCCCCCAAATTAGCTTCCACTCCCTAAAATTTCTTCAAATAAAATCGCTTGTTTCCTATCCAAACAACAATGGAGCAAAGATCGTCCACAAATCGTCTTGACTCCTCCTTGAGCTACTTTGTCGGCTTATCGTGAACTGAATTGCCGGTTTCAGTAATCCCAAACATACGTATCATCTAAGAAAAAATGTTCTGAATCTCGAAGTGACACAGGTGCAAATGATTTCCTATGAGAATGATGTTGTCAGAGCGAGGGATTCGAACCCAGGAACAGCAGATAGTCTCACTGCTAAACTTAACACAGCACGAAGTGGACACAATTTATGGATGACAACTTTATTTACTGCAAAGGCGATAAATCTATACCGAAGCGCCGCCTTTACGGGAAATAAAGCAGTTGCTATCCAAAAATTGTGTCCACTTCGTGCTGTGTTAAGTCAACATTTAAAACCCCATTGATAAATTGTATGCTATGCATACAACATTGAAAGCTGGTTCTTCTACAATTCTTAATGAACAACATTGCAAAAAAGGTCTTCTTCGTGATCAGTGATAAAAATATAACACGCAGAGTCTAAAAATACATGCAGCAGCTTATTATATTCGAGCAAAGAGCATGAGCATTCAGAAAAATCTATGTTCATAATATCAAACCCGAAATACATTATATATTGCCTTTTTGGATTGCATGTATGAGTGAGTGAGTGTGGTTTTACGCATCTTTTTGCAGTATTCAAACAATGTCACGGCGTGGAACACCAGAAATGGGTTTTGCACATTGTATCCATGTAGGGAATCGAACCAGGGCCTTCGGCGTCACGAGCGAACGCTTTCACCACGTGGCTACCCCACCACCTCTTAGCTGTATGAAATGTTTAAAGAAGTAGATAGAACATGACACATGTACCTATTAAAAAGACACTGAAGGCTAGTTGCCCAAGGAGTCGTAATTCCCTGTGCAGATTTGCGTCTCTTAGCACTGATTATGTTTCTAGATTTGTCAGGAGCTAACCTGTGTTGGAGGGTTTCACCAGAGTTGTAAACGTTTTGTTTGTTTGTTGCTTAACGCCGCACTCACCAATATTCGAGCGAATTGACAGCGGTCTGTAAATAATCGAGTCTGGACCAGACAATCAAGTGATTGACATCATGGGCATCGATCCACGCAATTGGGGTACGATGACATGCATCAACCAAGTCAGCGAGCCTGACCACCCGATCACGTTAGTCGCCTCGTTCGACAAGCATAGTCGCCTTTCACGGCAAGCATGGGTTGCTGAAGACTTATTCTACCCCGGATCTTCACTGGTCAGTTTTAAACATATAACCTACATCAGTTCGGGTTTGCCTTCCACGTTAAGTTGCGAAGCAATGCAAAAACTGACATATTGTTAAAAACGGGGTTACCCAAACTCATTCATTCACTTACTGTGTTTTAGGACCTCGTTGAAGGAGAGCGCTGAGGACCTGAGCCATTGCCAACACGCTTCGTCGTCAATATGGCGATACACGGGCTTTACAGTGGACTCCAGCAGCGTCGGCAGATCTCTGCAACCAGTATCAGGCCTTGCTGACATGGAGGTGAAGGACACAGGGTCGGGATCCTATATCGTGGAGGTCACATTTCCTCTTGAGGGTCCTACTACGGGACAGTATACTTCAAGCATCGGGTCGAAACTGTATCTGAAAGCCATCAATGTCACAGGTGAATTGAAAATCCCATTTATGTTCAAGAATGGACGAGCAGCTGAATGGACAGAAGGTTTTACTGTGACCTTGACCTCTGATATGCCCGACGGGATGTGGGTCATACCTGATTTCAGTTGGAGCGAAGGAAAGGGTAACATGGTAAAAGTCACGATTCCAACAGGGGTCGAGGTCGAAAGTTTTGAGATGCGCATGCGTGAGGAGGCGGGTGAGAAATTGACGGAGATTTGGTCCAATGCTTACTACACGATAGAGGGCGTGAAGTACGACTTCTGGTGGTTTTCCCCGTCCTACATGACCGTCAGCTGGTTCACGAACACCTCCTACACTCGAGTGTTCGACTACATTCGAGTAAAAGCTACTCCTATTCTCGAACCCGGATCGAAGAAAGTCGACGTTTTTATCATTTATCAAGATGGCCGTGTACAGCTTGCACCACTTCCCCTCGAAGGTCAAGAAAGGGAAAGGGTTCCTTTCGGCTCTCATGCAGTGATCGGCGGTCCTGATTCAAATCACGTGAGACCAAATTCACCAATTAAACGTATCGACATCAACGTTGGTGCGCTGGACTTCGACGTCATATTCACCGATGGCGGCTTTGTCAAGTTGGAGCTGACACCCGGCGTGGAAGAAACCATTTTACAAGCAAGGGATGTCACCTACAAGATGTCCCCTGACCACTTCCCATTCATGATGGTCGAGGCCACTTATATCGAAGACGGCATGTCGGAAATTGACCACGTGGCTGCTGACGGCGCCATCTTGAGACACGTGCAAGGACTTACTCCTGACGAAATCATCAATGGCACCTCGTTTGCGTTCTTCAGACGCTGCATCTCGCGACTACATACCCAGAGTGCGGATCTCATCGTGAACATGTCTGATTAGCCTTGCGTTTCAAAAAGTATATATACCTATATTTTTATATATGTTATCAACCATCCTCCAATTCAGGACTGAACACTGGAAGAAAGAGCAATCTCATTAAAAAACAGATCTAAGTTCTCGCTGCCGCTAAACAAAGATCTGAGGACATCCCATATCGGGTCACGTCAGAACGACCTTGCGCGAAATTTGACTGACCACTAAAATAACTAACAAGAAGTCGACACCAGCCAATTAGAAAGCAGCTTTCTCGAGCTTTACGGCACTCGTTTCAACCTGGCGACTTACATTTCAGACTACGCTTGAAAAATATGTTGACACAGTTCTCGATTACAATTTTGAAAACTGAACAAACGAACATTCCGGAATGTCTAATATATGGTTGAGATTGTATGGCAGTGCTTCCCATGTACTGTGCAACGCCTCCTCCGTTCAAATGTTTATCCTACGGAAGCGAAAGATAGACGATAATTTTGACGGAATCAGTCGTACGGGCCGTAACTGTCGTTCGAAATACTCCGTGTTAACGTTTTCGAGTTTGCATGATCAGAAAACACATTCCGACTGTGACTTTCATGATCTGGTAAGCGACGCTTTGATTGGTCGTATGAAAGGTCGTTCTGATGTGACCCGTAATGGGATGTCCTCAGATCTTTGTTTTGCGATAGCGAGAACTAATATCTGATCTTAATGAGATTGGAAGAAAGAGCTGTCTTTCCCACCTTCATAAGAACACTGAATGAACTCACAATCGAAAACCTTACTTTCCAAAAGACGTCCAGAACTAAATTTATCTGGTTTGTTCTGGATATTTGAGTCGGTTTGATAGCAGAACTAAGACGCGTAACAAACGTTTGGAACAAAAAGGTTGACAGCTCTTTGTCCAGTGTATGTTTGCCATTTTCAACAAAGGTTTGAACGTTCGAGGATATATAAACATACTATTATATATACTCATATCAACAATATCCTCCTGCTATAAAAAGAAACCGGGAATATTACCGATTCGCTGAAATACCCATTTCGGATCGGAACTTTTATGGAACATTTTGTGTCAAACAAAAACGAAATAGGATTGTTATTCTTAACAGAGGCAGCAACAATCGTACCATTGTCTTCAGGCAAGGATTCACCAAAATATCAGAATTGTAATCAGATTAAAACAGTGATAAGATTTAAGGACATTTTAGCCACACTCAACAGTGAGTTATTTTACCTTAAAGTCGAGATTCCGTTTTTTATTGCTTTTCTTTATTCTGATATACCCTACACAGTATACGGATGATGTACCGATTATAGCAATTATTAGATTTATGCGAACAGCCTCCGGTCACAGATATGACATGTATTTTAGGTGCTATTTCCTTCGAGAACTGTTTTATCGTTTCTTAGATAAAGATGAATCAGACATTTGATGTTTTGTTTTCATGACCCAGGTGATGAAAGGCGAGGCTGGTGTTTGTTATCAGTGCTGAAAGGTCCTGGGACACAATGAGGAAAGTTTGGTGTGAAAATGTACATCCGATTGATGTTGGGTCATGTTTAGACATTAAGACATTCCGCCCTCCTCGGCAGATATCGCCGGTTGCCGTGACAGTGCTTGCTGAAAGTCCAGGGACTCAATTAGGAAAGTTTGGTGTTGGGTCATGTTTGTAAACACATTAAGACATTCCACCCTCCACGGCAGATATCGCCGGTTGTCATAACAATAAACAATAACATACACAATAAACGTATACACATCCCATGACAACTAGGGCATGCGTTTGAACTACAACAAAGGGTTCATTATTAATATAACATGCAGGTGAGGTGAAATTGGGTTTAACGTCGCGTCCAAGATTATTGCACTTATATAGCGACGTGCATGCACGTGTGTGTGTGTGTGTGTGTGTGTGTGTGTGTGGCTGCTTGTACTAGTCAGGACTGATGCCGATTTATAGTGCTAGCTCACTGAGATACCATGCCGCAGTTTAACATGAATATCCCACTCAGTCACAGTACTGACTCCGAGCCGACCAGTCCTTGTTTTAGCACCTTAATGCCGAGCGCCAGACAGGGTAACAACAAGTACCATCTTTTAACGTCTTTTGGTATGACGCGGCCGGGGATCGAACCCCGAACCTTCCGGGCGGACGCTCTAACAATAGACCACGGAGGCGGTCTTATAACATGCAGAACATACATATGGTTTGTGTGTGTGCGTGCGTGCGTGCGTGCGTGCGCGCGTGTGTCAGACTAAAGCCGGTTTTATATTGCTAGTCGAATGAGATACCATGCTGCAGTTTAACATGGATGCCCTACCCAAGCACAATATACTGATTCCGAGCCGACCAATCCACGTTTTATCCCATTACATTGCACCAGGCAGGGTAACATCTTATGACGTCTCTCGGTATGACGCGGCCGGGGATCGAACCACCGCTCTTCGGACAGACGCTCCATCCACTAGACCACAGTGACCATTAAGTAAGCTTATTAGAAAATGTATAACATACTTACGATATACAAATGAATGGTATAGCTACTATTTCAATGGCTTCTCTTGGGATCAAACCCCATAAGCAGATTAGGTTGCATTTTACTGTCAAATTAAATATTCTAAAATCTGTTTTAAGGGTCAGTTTACCATTTCTCATAAATATTTCAGCTGCTTCTAGGGTTTTTCCGCTTGCTACGACAACCTCTAGAAAACACATTTTAAGTCACTCAAATGACATGGAAAACAATAACTCTATGGTTGAAATAAATGTATTGAATAACTTTAGTCGCGTTTAAAGATTACTATAATTTATTCTTGTTTTATTACAATACGAGAGAATATCCCGCACATGCAGAATCTTCTACATCCATAATCCAAGATAACATATTTGTTCTAAAAATCACAAAGAAAAACTAATGTTCTAATCTAAGTTAAGACGTTTACAATAAGGAAAAACACGCTGATGATAATCGTTGCAGAGGGATTGGTTGTCTCACAGCCGGCAATTAAGATAAACATGAGTGACATAGCCTCGAGGGGGACGTAGAGATGATGTGGAAATGATGACGATATTCCAGTCAAGGATGGCGAAACATTCCCCTTGGGGGAAAGATGGAGGTAAGATTCGAGAACACCCCCCATCCCCCCCACCCCCGGCTGTCCGGGTTGAGAGGATGTTTTCAAAGTTCGATGTCTTCTGCCTTGAGGGTATGATGTAATTATATCGGATATCTAGGCCACTATAAATCATCGCCGAGAAAATGAACCAACGAGACAGGCTGCCTTCATATTTTGTTTTGTTTGTCTGTTGTTTTACGCCGCACTCAGCAATATTCCAGCTATATGACGGGGGTCTGTAAATAATCGAGCCTGGACCAGACGGTCCAGTGATTGACAGCATGAGCATCGATCCACGCAAGTTGGATCGATGACATGCATCAACCAAGTCAGCGAGCCTGACCATCCGATCCCGCCACCACATTTTGAGATATTTGTGATTGATATTTCACGCAGTTTTTACATTATCCATGCAGTTATCACACGACACAGGGTACTAAGAAAGATCTTTCTACATTGTATGTTAAGGTTACGTGGGGTTTAAAATCACGTTGAAGATAATTGCATCAATTAAAATGGCTTCGCGATAAATCGCATAGAACAATGAAGTGAGTGAGTGAGTGAGTATGGCTTTACGCCGCTTTAGCAATATTCCAGCAATATCACGTCGGGGGATACCAGAAATTGGTTTCACACAAGATTATTGCACTTATGTAGCGACGTGCATGCACGTGTGCGCGCGTGCGTGCATGTGCTTATACTTGTCAAGAGTTATTCCGGTTTTATAGTGCCAGCCAACTGAGACACTATGCCGCAATTTAACACACATACCTCACACAGACACAACATACTCACGCTGAAGCGACTAATCCTTGTTTAATACCCTCATGCCGAGCGCCAGGCAGGGTAACAAGAAATACACAATATTAACATTCTTTTTGAATGACGTCTGGGGGGTCAAACCACCGACCTCTGCTCTCCGGGCAGACACTCTGCACTACGGTGGCGGTCCTTCATATCTTGTACACGCCAGGAATGGAAATCTGGTCTTTGACCACGCTTTGGCTCCTGTCTTCACACGTTAACCTTAAGAAAATGAGTCATTTGGATGAACGCCGATCTAAACAGCTTTTCAGTTACATCAAAGCATGTCTGCCAAATGTGATACAGGCCCAAATGTATCCATGAGCATGGGTATAGAGCTAACAAAGCATGGATCCTTATCACGGCGAATCTTGGATTCGAACTGGCAATCAACGATTCTGGCATAACTAATGGAGCGTACACTACTGAGCTATCAGTGACACCCTTGGTGTCAGTTACGAACCAGTCGATAAATAGACAGAAGGCTATGAAGCCATTTATGCTTACCCGGGATTAATAACTGAACAGATCCGGGTTAGAATTGGTCTTCAGCAACCCATGCTTGTCGTAAGAGTGAGTTAGCAATATTCCAGTAGGATCACGGCGGGGGCCACAAGAAATGGGCTTCACACATTGCACCCATGTCGAGATTCGAACCCGGGTCTTCGGCGTGACGAGCGAACGCTTTAACCACTAGGCTACCCGACCGTCCCTTGTCGGAAGAGGCGACTAGCGGAATCTCAATTGCGTGGATCAATGCTCATGATGTCGGGTCCAGACTCATTCCAGCAATATAACGGCTGCCCGGAAATAATCGACCCTGGACCGGACTATCCAATGATCGATATTGTGAGCAACGATCCACGCAGTTGGGGTACGAGGTGAGGTGAGGTGAGGTGAGGTGAGGTGAGGTGAGGTGAGGTGAAATTGGGTTTAACGTCGCGTCCAAGATTATTGCACTTATATAGCGACGTGCATGCACGTGTATGTGTGTGTGTGGCTGCTTGTACTAGTCCGGACTGATGCCGATTTATAGTGCTAGCTCACTGAGATACCATGCCGCAGTATAACATGAATACCCCACTCAGACACAGTATACTGACTCCGAGCCGACCAGTCCTTGTTTTAGCCCCTTAATGCCGAGCGCCAGACAGGGTAACAACAAGTACAATCTTTTAACGTCTTTTTGTATGACGCGGCCCGGGATCGAACCCTGGACCTTCCGCTCTCCGGGCGGACGCTCTACCACAAGACCACGGAGACGGTCGTTGGGGTACGAGGACACGCCATCAACCAGGTTAGCGAACCTGACCGTCCGATCCATTACATCGCCTCTTACGTCAAGCATGGGTCGAGTTTCATTTGATTGGTGACACTAGTTGGTGAGTGAGTGAGTATGGTAATACGGCGCTTTTAGCAATATTCAAGC